ATGCCGAGCTGAAGTCCACAAAGAGGGCCCGTGCATAGGTCCCTGGGGAGTCGAGGTGTTGCAGGATGTAATGCAGTGCCATGTTGACTGCATCGTCCACTGAACTGTTTGCCTGGTAGGTGAACTGCAGGGGGTCTACGATGTCTTTCACATGGGCCAGCACCATTTGATGGTTTGATTTGCTGCTTCATTGTATCCTATAATCTTATATCTTATATCGCTGAGCAGCAGTGGGCTTTACAGTACCACAGTGTTATTCAAAAAAAAGAATTTTTGTAGCTTTAGAGCTGCATGAATTGATTTCTTGGAAGTGAGAGGGCAAGTAGAACAAGCTATACACTCAACACTGACATATCATTTTACAAATTTGTTATGGGTGCCAACATTAGCATTATTCTTAAAGTGTATTTCTTGTCACACTACTAATACAATGCTCATGCTTTATTTTGGTTTCCTTGTGATGTAATTATGGCTTTTAGCTTGTTATATTCTCTATTATATTCATTAGCTAGTTTCTAATTGTGTCTGTCTACCCTTTGGTACTGAGCAGGTAGCACGGTGTGGATTTATTAAAAGGTTTTTTGTGTGTGCTGAAAAGAGTTTTGTGACTGGGGACAAGGGGGTGGAGTTGTAAGCCTGGAAAACAAAACTATTAGCTGAAAAGCACTAAAATGTCCCACAGAGTTGCAGAGCTAGGGGATAATTTTTATAGGTTTGTCACTATAAATGTAGTGTCCACAAGTCCAAAGTAGAAATTTCTATAAGAAGGTTGAAATGTTTTTCAAACTTAACATGAACATAAATAACAAGTCACCACATAGCATATATTCTCTCTGCATTATATTGTGTTCTTGTTGTATTTTTATTTGCTCCCTTCACTTGGTGCTTTAAAGTGCCTTAGATTTGTGATTTTACTGCTTATTTAGATTTGTGCCATTGCTCATCTACTTTATATTTCACTTATATTATGTGGCATTCATGTGGATGGCAAAGTAAGAATTTCATTGTACAGGGAAACACGTTTTCTAACTGTGCATATGACAAATAAACACTTTGACCTTTGACTTTGAAACACTTTGACCTCCAAGACTTCTTCCTTCCTAATAATTTCAAAACCCAAAGTTGCATAGTGATACATGAATGTTCCATGAAACTAATACATGCTTATTATTTCAGATGCTTGACAAATCAACTATCCCCAGAGACTTTGTTAATCCTGACCTCCTAATTCTGCAGTACTGCCCAGAAAGGGTTACATAAGGAATTGTTCTTGGATTTTTTAATTTTTATTTTAATGATCATGTGCTGATAATTGATTGTCTTTTATTCTCAGTTACAAAGTTAACAATTTCTTTATTTCCACAGAATGATCCACACATGTTTCTTGTCAAACTATTTGTTTCTTAAGATTATGTATTACAGCCTGGTGGAAGTAATTTAATTCTTGAAAGATTTTCTGATGCGGACTTATAGATTAAGCACAAGAGTTTCTCCACTGCACCTGAAAAACTTATCAGAAATCGTTGTCATAGCCACAAGAACCTCAACCAGTTAGAAGACTGGGCCTGCAGACTCCTGAGCCAATCACACAAAGCAACAATCAGTTAAATTAAAAACACTTTTTTGGTGCAACATCAATGAACAGCCAACGATAGAAGAACCCTGGTAATGCCAACATTCTGAAGACCTGGCCAACTGAGAAGTAGCACCTTCCGATAGCGAGCCTAGAAATCCAGCAACAGATTTGTCTTGAGGCCTCGGCTCGGAACCATCTCGACACTCCGGATCCTGCTCAACACTGGCCCAAAAAGCCTGCAAACCAGCACTTCTCTTCTCCTAGCCACATAGAAGCCCCGAAGTTAATGGCTATCTCCTGCTAACAGCTAAGTGCACTCTGGCTAACTGATGTCTCATGAAAACCGTAGCTATTAGTTCCCAAATTAAAGTCTATAACTTATAGCAATTGGCAGTTATTTTCCCTCTCCATAGTCATGATTAAACCCCAGAATCTAAATCTAGAATCTAGCTCAATTTTTGACTTCCACCATCGCTAACACCATTATTCATTCATTTATCAGAGCATTAACAAATGTACTACTTGCGTTATGTCTCTAATCCTGATCCTTTTCCCTGTGTTTTTTCTGATTTGTATTAATGATGTTTTTTTCAATAGGATAACATTTTTACATCCTTATGGAAGGCATAAGTAATAAGGGGGAAGAACACAACATGCGCCTGTGGTAATCCTATCATACTGCTTTTGTGACTTCCACTCCACACAGTAGACAGGCACACCTGTTAACAGCTTGCTGCAATTCAGATAAATGCAACAGGAACACTAAAAGCAATTCACTCACGTTCATGGAAGGTTGTGAAGAGGATCCTGAATTTACTCTTCCTGCTCCCCTCATCTGCCCAGAGCCTCACCACTCCCACAGAGGACACCAGCATGACATCATTGGCCACCGTGGAGCAGAACTTATTCTTCAGATGCTCAACTGAACTGCTGCCATCATAGATGGCAACAAAGTTCCTCTTGCACTCATTTGAATTGTGCATTTCATACTCCAGAAATCGCATGTAGATCTGGGGGGGGGGGGGGGGGATAGCACTTGTGGGGAGTGCGCGGGTCATTTTGGCTCATTCTTTCATATCTAGGATTTTTTTTTCCTAATGCTTTTAAAGGACTGTCACATTTTTGTGACAACAGTTGACTGATACTCATCTAGCAATACCAAAATGCACACTATATTGTTTCTTGTTAAATCATTTGCTTCACACTTTAGCACTTCACTTTATTTTAATGCATTTTAACGCTGGCATTTTGCTTTTACCTATAATGTAAAAGTGACAGCTGCACAGCTGAGTAGGTAATCTTAAATTGTATCAAATTCTTCCATTTTTGAGCAAACAGTTGTAAAAAAAAAAACATAATGTACTCAATACATAACACTAGGCTATTGTTATCAAGAGGCAGGAAAACCCCTTAAATTGTTCTTTGTTACAACTATGCAGCAATCTTTCAGTAAGTTATATTGTAGACAAATAGGTGCCAGCTACAGCTGACGTACAAACCTTAGCTCTTGGTGGAGCCCTGATATACCACCTGCAGTCCACAGCCTCAGTCTGCTGCACCTGGCCCTCCTTACCGATCTGTGTCGATTCTACGAAGCCTTCTGGACCACTCAGCTCAAACTCACAAACTGTGGAAAACCACATTTTGCTCTTGTTATACTAGTTTTCACTGAGTGTAAAAATGTGGAAACACTTTAGCCTACATTATCCTTCCAGAAAATTGAAGATTCAAATTTAGTTAATTGGGTAGATCGTTTTTAAAAAATGCATAAATACGTTATTCACAGCATTTCTATATTCAATCAAAGCTGCTGACCTGAATAATATACATTGTAGGACATCTAATATTATACTGTAAAATAACACGAGGTGAATACTCACATGGCAAAGCTGGCAGTGCCCCAAGATCTTTAAACTCTGGATCTGAAGGCAGAACAAAATATTGCTGGAGACAAACAATGCATTTACTGAAGTCCTTACTCAAACACTGCATGGAAAACAATCTGCATGTTAAAAGATCAAGCAAACATTTTTTATTAAAAAAAAAAAACTGGTGAATACATTTAGTTGTTCAGATCCCTTTTTTGTGCATCTGTATGCATATTCTACTAGTTACCTGCGTCTGGGTTGCACAGAAAATAGACGTACATTCACATAATATGACCAGATAGTGTAATTATGCAAGAGTAGGCAACTATCTAATACTGTATGTTCAAAATATATGTGAACATATGTATGTATATAGTATACATGGAAAATATACAAGCATCTTAAACATTTAAAATATGTGCATGTGATATTTAGTACAACATATTCTGTTCAGGAAATGAGCAGAGATTAAACAAAATCTCTTATCCTAGTGTTCTGGGTTAGGGATAAAGAAAAAACACAAAATCAAAATGATAATATTTAAAAACATATTGCAACACAAAATCAAACACAGCTGTCAGCAG